AAGGTATTATGACATTTGTTTTGGATACCAAGGAGGGCAGAAAAAGACCATCAAGTGGGGACAGGGATAGGTGTGTCTGAGTTCAGCCTGTCATTGGGCTGGGCTTGCTTAGGCTGCTATCGGGGATGGGGGTATGGTTTCCAGTCCAGTGGAGTTATATTCTCAGGGAGATTATGGTTGCCTCTGCTGAGTCATACAGGTCCCCAGGGAAGTGAGGGAAAGCCAGCAACCACAGGCCCCATCTCACTCTCATGCAGCCTGCAATCCTAAAAGTTGGTCTCCCTCCCACCATGCTTCCCCAATAGCACCAAGTTTATTTCCAGGCAGCCAGTGACAAGGGCTGAAAACTTGCCCAAGAATATGAACCTCTCTGTTGAGAAAGCAAGCAGACTTACAGTTTTTCAGTGTCTCAGGGAGCCTGCAAGGGTGATCCAGTTCCTTTAAAGGGTTTGTGGATTCTCTCAGCTTTCCTGGTATGTTTCTGCAATAGTTCTCGGCACAAAAATTTACAGTGTGAGTCTCCACATGATACTCTGTCCTAGTGGGAGCTGCAAGCTAGTTCTTACTTCTTTCTACCATCTTAATCTGTTATAGTTATTTTTGATTGGTTCATCATTCAATCTTTCTACTTAAGAATAATTTACGCATCACAGTGTTATAACATTCTGTGTTTTTTCCTGTATACTTACTATTACCAGTGAGGTTTGCAGCTTCAGATGATTTATTATTCCTCATTAATGTCCTTTTTTTTTTTCTGATTGAAATATTCCCTTTAGCATTTTATGTCAGACAGGTCTCATGTTAAGTTTTTCAGCTTTTGCTTGTATGGAAAAGTCTTCATTTCTCCTTTATGTTTGAAGGATATTTTTACACAATACACTATTCTAAGGTAACAGGTTTTTTTGATTGTTTTGTTTTCCTTCAGCATTTTAAATATGTGGTACCACTCTCTCCTGGCCTATAAGGTTTCCACTGAAAAGTCTGCTGCTAGATGTATTAGAGCTCCATTGTATGGCATTTTTTTTTCTTTTGTTGCTTTAAGGATTCTTTCCTTATCCTTGGCCTTTGGGGGTTTGATTATTAAATGCCTTGACATAGTCTTCTTTGGGTTAAATCTGCTTTGTGTTCTGTAACCTTCTTGTGCATGGATATTGATGTCTTTCTCTAGGTTTGGCAAGTTCTCTGTTATAAACCCATTGAATAAATGTTCTACCTTTATCTCTTTTTTTACCTTCTCTTTAAGGCCAATAATTCTTAAATTTGCCTTTCTGAGGCTATTTTTTAAGAGCTTGTAGACATGCTTCTTTCCTCCTAATTCTTTTTTTCTTTTGTCTCCTCTGACTGTATTTTCAAATAGCCTCTCTTCAAGCCTACTAAGTCTTTCTTCTGCTTGATCAATTCTGCTATTAAAAGACTCTGATGCATTCTTCAATATGTCATTTGCATTTTCCAATTCTAGAATTTCTGCTTCATTCTATTTTTTTTTTTTTTTGACAGGACCTGCCTCTGTCACCCATGCAGTGGTGTGATCTCAGCTCATCGCAACCTCCACCTGCCGAGCTCAAGCCACCTTCCCACTTCAACCTCCTGAGTAGCTGGGACTACATAGGTGCATACCACCATGCTTAGCCGATTTTTTTTTTTTTTGGTAGAGGTGGGGTTTTGCTATGTTGCCATGGCTGGTCTTGAACTCCTGGGCTCAAGTGATCTGCCCGTCTCAGCCTCCCAAAGTGCTGGGACTACAGGTGTGAGCCACTGTGCTGAGCCTTGGTTGATTGTTTTTAATCTTTTATTTTTATCTTTTGAGACAGGGTCTCATTCTGTTGCCCAGGCTGGAGTGCAGTGGCATGATCTTGGCTCACTGCAACCTCTGCCCCATGGATTCAAGCAATTCTCCCACCTCAACCTCCTGAATAGCTGAATAGCTACAGCTGTCCACCACCATGCCTCGCTAATTTTTGTGTTTTTTGGTAGAGATGTGTTTCACCATGTTGGCCAGGCTGGTCTTGAACTCTTGACATCAAGTGATCTGCCTGCCTTGACCTCCCAAAGTCCTACCACTGTAACTACCACCTTGCTACCACTTTTGTTCGCAAAAGGCCCTGGGGCTGTACAATCCACAGGTGATAAAGCCAGACAAACTTGTCTCTTTCCCTTTAGAGTGGTGAGCTCCCCAGGCTCCAGGTGGGTCCAAAAATGCCATCTAGAAGCCAAGGAGTAGAGTAAAAAAACCCTTTAAAATCTACTTAGTGTTCTGTGGTACTACTGCTGAGCTGGCTTTCAAACCATGTAACAAGTCCTTCTCACTATTCCCTTCCCTTTTCCTAGGCAAGGGAGCCTCACCCTATGGCCACCACCACCACAGGCTCATGGAGAGTACTGTCAGGCTTCTACCAATGTTCACTTAAAGTCTAAGGGTTCTTCAGTCAGCTTGTGGTGAATGTTGTCAAGCCTGGGATTCACTCTTCCAGGCTCCCCCCTGGCCCAGGGCAGGTCCAGAAATGCTGTCCAAGTGCAATGGCTTATAATCAGGAACCTCAAGAGCTTGCCTGGTTTTCTACCCTATTGTGGCCAACCTGATACCTAAGGTACAAGATGAAGTCCTCTTTACTTTTCCCTCTGTTTTTCTCAAGCAGACGGGGCAACTCTCCACAGCCACCACAGCTGGGAGTGTGCTGTGCCTCACCTGAAACCAGCAAGTTTCCGTCTCACCCAAGGCTAATGGCATACTACCTGGGTACTATTGCTGATGATTCAAGGTCCAAGGGCTCTTTAGTCAGGAGGTGATGAGTCCTGCCATGACTGGGTTCTTCTCTTCAAGGCAGCATGTTAACTTCTGTCCCAGGGTATGTCTAGAAATGTTGTCCAGGAGCTAAGGCAAGGAATGGGGCTTCATGACTCTGACCAGTGCCCTATTTTATTGTAACTGAACTGGTATCCAAGATGTAAGTTAAAGTTCACTTTACCCTTCCTTTTTCTCAAGTGGAAGGAAGGGGTCTCTTTTGGAGCTGTGAGCTGTGCAGCCTGGGGTTGGGGGAGGGCAAACACTCTAAACACCCTCTTAGCTGCCCTGGCTGGTGTCTCAGTGGTTCTTGGGCCTCCCAGTACAATGACTTTGAGCCCAGCTCAGTACTAGGACTCACCTAGGAATTGTAGTCTTCGTGGCCTAGACTGCCTTTCAAGTTTATGTGGGGCCCCAGAGCACTTCAGTCCCAAGTGGCAAGGCTTGCTGAAACTCAAGTTCCAACTGCTAAGATGGGCAATTTCCCTGTATCTAGCTGGTCCAAATGTTCCCTCCATGGGCAAGCATTAGCTAAGTACAGCAAGGTTCTGCTTTCCACTGTGATAGAGCAGCATCAAGTTCAATGCAAAGTCTCACAATCATTACACTCTCCCTTCCCAGCATACAGATTCTGTGTGTTATGCAGCCACTGCTGGGAGGTAGGAAAGGAGTGGCAATGGCAATTCAAAACGGTTTTTATCTGCCCTTTTCAGTACCTATTTCAGTAAAATGAAGTTAACTAGAGGTACTGTGATTGCTCACCTGATTTTTGGTTCTTATAAAGTATACATATTTTTGTGTAGATGGTTGTTAAATTTGGTGTTCCTGTAAGGTGTAGGGGTAACTGGTCGTCTGCCTCCACCCGGAGAATAACCTACCTTATCTTTCTTGGTGGATAGTTCTCATTAAAAATACCTTGTCCTGAACATTTTCTGTTTATTTTAGTAACTGTCAACTATATGACAATGAACAAATGTATAGGAAAGTGAACAATAGAGAATGACAAATCTATTTGGTCATTGTATAGTGTGTGGGAATTTAGATTTACTAAAAGGCTTTCTGCTCAAAAGAGCTATACCCAGGGTTATTGGATCCAAAGTTTAACATTATGCACTCTATTGATACAAACATTTTGACTGAACTTTCAGAGGCAAAATTTGGGGTGCCTTAGTGAGAGTGAAGAGGAGGTTTCATGCAAAGCATATGCCTACTTTTCTAAGTGTTGCCCAGCTGCTAATGAATAAGGTTCAGTCCTAGTGTCTGACCCATTTTCTCCTTCCATTACTTGCAGATGATTTTTTCCTTTATGGGCTGGTTAAAAGCAAAAATAATAATCCCAGAATAGACAAAGTTATAGCATGGTAGCAAATTATCTCTAATTCGCTTAGCCTAGCAAAAGGTTTTTTTTCACTCATGCCATCTGTCTAATGTAGATTGGTAAGAGGTCTGCTGTCATAGTCGCTAAGGGACTCAGGCCGATGAAGACCTCATCTCAGCACCTGCCCTATTCTCGCTGTGTCAGAAGGAGAGGATGATAGTAAATCATGCATTGTCTCTTAAGCTTCTATTCAGCAGTAAACCTATTATTTCTACTCATATACCATTAACGACAGCAAGTCATATTGTCATACTTTACTTCCGAGGAGATGTTAACACGCAGCCCTACCATTTGCCTTGATAAAGAGGAGCTGGAAATATTTGGTAAACAACTATAATGACCACTACCTCAATCATCCACCAAGAAGAAAAGATGTCTTATTTTCAAACAAAAAGAAATGTTACCACAAGATTTCTGTACACATTAGTTGTTAGATAATGTCTCTACTGATTTTTTTTGTTAGTGCTTCAGGTTTCTTACAAAATCTGTCATCTTTCGTGACAGCACCATTATTCTATATGTGGCTCTAGTCTCCAGAGAGCAGCAGGAAATACTATTTGTGATAAGGTTACATATAGAGATATAGTGCCTGACTCGAGAAACTCTAGTTACATTCTTTTTTTTTTTTTTTCCGAGACGGAGTCTCGCTCTGCCGCCCAGGCTGGAGTGCAGTGGTCGGATCTCAACTCACTGCAAGCTCCGCCTCCCAGGTTCACGCTATTCTCCTGCCTCAGCCTCCTGAGTAGCTGGGACTACAGGCGCCCGCCACCTCGCCCGGCTAGTTTTTTGTATTTTTTAGTAGAGGTGGGGTTTCACCGTGTTAGCCAGGATGGTCTCGATCTCCTGACCTCGTGATCCGCCCGTCTCGGCCTCCCAAAGTGCTGGGATTATAGGCTTGAGCCACCGCTCCCAGCCTCAAGTTACATTCTTTAGCGTAATTTAGTTTTCCAGCTTCTGTGTAACTGGGGGACACCTATTCAAATATTTTAAGCATATGCTAGGTCTTTTGTCATGAGATATAATTTGTTTTTCAATTGTTATGGTAGCAAATTTGTCATTTGGCTGGACTTCAATGGCTGCTGCAGTTTTATCCTTATTGGCATCCCAAGAGGAGTGGAAGATAGATAAGCTGCAGGAATCAAGATTTATATATTATCTAAGAAACTGGAGTGGGAGGAAGATAAAAAACATGAACTATTTCTCTGTTTTTTATCTCTCACTTCCCCATTATCTCTTTCACGTTGAGAACTAGGGTCATTTTTCTAGTGACAGGCCTACTTTGTAGACATTACATCCTAAACTTTCATTAAGGACAATATTATAATAGTCAGGATAAACTGGGCTATGCTGTGCTAACAAGTAAACTCCAAAGTTCTAGTGATTTAATTCAGTAAAGATTTATTTCTTTCTCATATCACAGTTTAATTCAAATGGTTCCTTTTGGCCACTCTTAAGGAGTCTGGCTAAAACTTCTACCTAAAAATCTACATGTGATTTTTTTTTTTTCATGCCAAACAGTAGGCAGTCACAAAAGCTGCCCTCCCCACGCCAGTCTTGGTGTGGCAAATACAATCTTTGAAGGAGGTTTCAGTCGAGGACTCAGGCTCTCCGGCTGACTTTGCTCCTATGCATATCATCATTCCTAGATCAGATGCCTCCATTTGGAAGCTTCTTTATAGGAGGCCTTCAGCTGAGGCCTTCCTCAGGTGCCTCTGCTGAGACCTCCTTATTAAAGAGCTGAAGAATCAAACTTGAAGAAACATTGCTCCACCGTAATTCAATATTCAGGACTTTTGCACTCCCAGCCCTTTCCCCTTTCCTTTCCCCTTGCTCCAGGGTCCATAAAATCCCAAGAGCGTTTTTTGGAAGCTCCTTCAGGATTGAGCTGAATACCATATCTATGCTACTCCTGCTAATTCTTGACTGGTTCTGGTCCATGGAAAAAGATTGATCAGGAGGAGTCAGCATTTTCTTCAGGTTAGCCTCTTGCTTATGCTATCCCTGTAAGTGATTAAAGGCTTCACTGTTATTTTCATTCTTGCTTCTTGCCTAATTGGCTACTCTGATACCTGGCAGCTTAGCTCTGTCTAGGTCAGCTCAGCTCCTTATAATTCTACAAGGAATAACTCAGGAATCCAAGATGTTTCCATCTTAAAGTTACACTATCTGGAGCATGTGTGTCCAGCATCATTGTGAAACAGAAAGAGAGAGAGTAGGGAACTGTGCAAATAAATCAATGGCCAAGCCTAGATGTGGTGTGTAGCACATTCATTCATATTTCACTGCTCAGAACTCAGTTACATGCTTCCAACCCAATGGCAAGGCAGGTTGGAAAAGTAGTCTTCTTGTTTATATAGGAAGAGAAAAGAGATTTTTTGTGAACATTGAGCCAATTTCTGTCTGTAACGCCAACTTCTGTTGGGTAAATATGTGTGTTGTGGGAGGTAAGTTTTGCACAAGTTTTTCAGACTAGTGGGAGATATAATTACAGATGAAAGGCAGGTCTGATGCCCAGGCATTGTACTAAGCATGAGGAATGATTTAGAGAGGTGAAATAAAGACTGAAGATTTAGTGAAATTGAATGATACATCTTAGGTGACAATGGTATTACCCTTCCTAGTCTAGAAAAAACTTCTGGATGTTCTTGAGAACTCTTCTCCACCCACCACTACTTCTAAATTTAATTCCTCTGCACCAGCTGCACAATCCTGCATTTACAATTCAGTTTAGACTACTGAACTTTCTACCTACCATCCCCTCTATAAAATGAAAGGTTTAAATTAGTGATTTTCTTCCCCTACCAGCCTGCAAGGTGCAGTTGGTCATTTCATGGGCACTCAAGGAATGTCTGACCTACCTCACAGTGATCTGTCCATAGTGAGCATTTAATGCATGTAAGTATAGTCCTAACTCATCTTCATCATCATGAAATTCTAGAAGTTTCAGGTCAACAAAACAATGACTCACAGGTTTTTAAGAAACAGTGTCAGCATATGTTCTTGAATTCCAAATTATACAACTTTGTGCTTGTCAAATTACAGGTACAGTTATGAAACATCTAGAAGTCATCCATTCTTTTATAGACTTCCTCTCCTGACATGTCTACTTGCTATGAAACAGCTGTTTAGTCATGTTGCCAAGAAGAAAAAAGACAGAGTGCTTCTAGATAAAGAAATAGTATTCCTATGTCAACTTTCTATGCAAAGTGTGGACTGTGGACCAGCAGCATGTGCATTGCCTGGCAGCTTGTTGGAAATGCAGAATCTGAAGCTCTTCCCTAGACCTACTAAACAGACTTCGCTTTAACAATATATCTGGGCAAGTCATATAGTCATTAAAATTTGAGAAGTATGATCTAGCATAGATATTACTTCATAATAAATGTTTAATGTTTGAGTTACTATTGCTGCATAGCTTGAAGGAGACAGTATATACACCTTACCTCTTCATGGAAGGATTGTCAAAGTCTCACTATAAGAAGAACATGGTACCGGAGATATTGTTGTAGCCACCTTTGGAAAATACAATTGACACACTTAATATTTAAAACTATTGCCTTTACTCCTTTATTGTGCAGACGTAAACCAGTGATTGGTTCCAGGTTAAAGGTACTTTTTGGCATGCTCAGTAACCGTCTTTACTTTACAGGAGGAGGTAGAGTACCAGGTAGCTTTTTCAAAAGGCATGCTGAAAATTATTAGTAGTTTGATAAAGATTCTGATGAATTCTTAAGGCTAAATGCAGTGCTAAATTTTTCCTTGTCATCTTCTTTGATCTCCTCAGTGAGAAATTATCTCATCTTCCTCCAAAGCCCATTAGAATGTTGCCTATTTTAAAAATTGAGTTCTTCATATCATAAATTAAATATTGTGTCTAAAGAGTTTCTGGCATATGCTACATACTCGATGATTGCAGGTATTTTCATTAAAGCTATTTGTATATATTTCTTACCTCCTTCTTCTTTCTTTTCCTGGTGAACTGCAATTCTTTTAGAAGCCAATTCTGAATTCCTAGGCAGAGTAGTCATATTTTTCTTTCAGTTTCATAGTAATTTAAACCCCAAAACCAGTGTTTATGCACAGACTTATATTCCATTACCTAGCATTTCTAAAGAATGACTTTTTTAATCTTAATTATTTTCAGTGGAAACTTTTTCTAAATGTGTGATATGCACCTATAATGCTAAGCATAAGCAGATGCTCATAAACTAGGGGTTCTTTTCTCTTGCACATTTTGTGATGTTTATAGCCTTGCTGCCGCCATGGGGTCTGTACCTAGTGGCGTTTGCTCCTTTCTCAGAGAAAATTACATAATAGATTTCATAAAAATTCTATCTATCATCAGAGAATATGATCTATGAGGGAAAGCCTCAGAGAATCTCTTATGAAGAAGTGAATATACTTGCTTATTTTTGATTTTGAATGAGTAACAAAATAATAATAAATTATAAAATACAATTAAATTGCATTTAATAATATTTATTAAATAAAACTATTATTTTCATGCCAGTTTTATGGTTTAAATATCACCTTTGCATGCATTTTCTAACTTGTTTTTGAAAACTTCCCTGTAAGGTAGAGTTACTCATAGTAAAAATAATATGTGATCAATATAATGTTTTTAATAAAATAAGGAGTTGTTCTAAAATTTTGTTTATTTATTTATTTATTTTTGAGACAGAGTCTGGCTCTGTCATCCAGGCTGGAGTGCAGTGACATGATCTTGGCTCACTGCAACCTCTGCCTCTCAGGTTCCAGTGATTCTCCTGCGTCAGCCTCCTGAGTAATTGGGATTACAGGCATGCACCACAATGCCCATCTATTTTTTTTATTTTTAATTTTTAGCAGAGACAGGGTTTCACCATGCTTGCCAGGCTGGTCTCGAACTCCTGACCTCAAGTGGTCTAGCTGCCTCAACCTCCCAAAGTGCTGGGATTACAGGCTTGAGCCACTGTATCGGTCCTGAAATTTTAAAATATGACTTATATCCCTACCACACAGAGATACCAATTTTGGTATATTTTCTTGCATTAATTTTTTTCTAGTCACAGATTTTATTTTATACATGATATGATCACACTGAATATATAATTTTGATTAGAGATTTAAACATATCTATTTTGTATTAGAAGCATACATCTTCTCAAGAATAATGTACCATTATTTATTTTACTATCACCCTTCTGTTTAACCATTTTATTTGTTTCCAAAATTTTGCGACCCTAACAAAACATGCCTGTACTTCTTTTTCCATAATTATGTTTTTTATTTATTTAGAAACATTTCTTGGTAATAGAGTTGGTAGTAATCCTAGGTTAAAGATATGAATATTTGAGGGGATGAGGGAGTTCACTAATATATATTACAAAACTGGAACATATATTTAAGATTAGGAGTATCAGATACGTTCCAAATAACAGGGTTAGTAACTTGGATAAAAGCAAACTACAACTCAAAGACATTAAAATTTGTCCTGGTAGCTCTCTGAACTTTTGATTGCTTACTTTCTTGTGCTCATTTATGTTCTAAATATTTGAGATTCTGGAACAAGTGATTTCTGGGAAAGAAAGATGCTGTTTTATAAAACACACCATGCTATACTTTTGCATTCTGGTGTCTTTTAAGCAACTCAATAGAAGACTTTTTAATTTCGAGGAGAAACACAATTTTTATCTTTGTTTCCTTTATTAATGAGATTAACTTTTTCTGTTACTGCAAGACTTCTTTAATAAACTGTTTTTTTTCTAATCACAGCTAGAATGCAACAAAAATACATTAGAGAATTACCTTTGAGATATCATAATTTATGTGAAATTATTTTGAAAAGTGTTTGTTCATGTCTTTTGCCCACTTTTTGATGGCTTTTTTTCTTATATATTTAAGTTTCTTATAGATGCTGTAATTAAATTTAATTATGAAGTAGAAAAAGCAGTGTAAGTTATATCTAGATTTTTAGACTTTGTTGCTGTTGTGTCACCCCTTTTGATTAAACCTGTTTGAAAAATTGTTTATCTCTCATTTTACAATGTCTGTTAATAGAAACCTGGCTCCTTTCTCTCCACTTATGTTACTTGCCTGTTCTAACAGGGCACATAGTGCTGTAGATGTAGATGAAACAGCATAATCCTCAACTGCCCTCGTCATCTCCTACTTCAACTTCTTCCATCCATTCAAACCCTTTAGTCGGTTTCTCAGAGCACAAAAGATTTTGGATGTTCAGATTCAGGCACTTACTGAATTTTTCTGCATTGTAAAGGCTGGAAGAGAAAAGGTATTTTTTTCTCTTGGAAGCTAGGAACAATTTTTGCTCCAACATCACGTGAAACTGAAAAAGTGGAGGTGGGGGTGGAAGAGATTGTTACCCAGTGTGCTTCTTCCCTGGCCCAGACTGTGTTTCTATACAAGTGGACCTCTGAGGACGTACATTTGCCTAACATCACTTTCTCCAACTTAGGACAACACTGGGCTTCCTGGAAGCTCAGTTCTCCTTACAGGGCAGGCCCAGACTCCCTATTTCCAGAGAAATTTCAGGGATATTGCTCAATTGTCAACAGAAGCAAGGGAAACCCAAGCATCTTATAATTTTTGTCTTTATGGTAATAGATTTAGCTAGGAAAGTCAGGTTGGATAAATTTTGAAGGCTGCTCAGCCTTTTATTTCATTGCTTATCTAAGCAACTTAACTTCTTTTGTTTTTAAATTTAACTTTTATTTTAAGTTCAGGGATACATGTACATCTAGTTACTCAACTAATGCACACAGTCTGCCTTATCAGCCCCAACCTGATGTCATAATGTAGCTTCAACGTATTACTCTCAGAATTTAGATCTTCATCCCATTCTTCTTTCCTGAGCCCTTAGTTTATACCCACGACTGCTTAGAGATGTGTAGATGCCACATAGAAGTCTTAAATATCCTTGAACTCTATGTTCCAACAGCAAACACTTTGGATTTGCTTTTTAGCCACAGTCCTCAAACCTGCTCTTTTCTTTTGAATATCAATTTCAATAAATTGTGCTAACATCAACCCAGTCTCCTATATTATTCTAGATTCTTTTTCTTCACTCCTATTTGTTTCTAAACTAATTGTCGTTTATTAAAATTATCAGTTCTACCTTTCAGCAGTGCCTAAGTCTATCCAGACACTGATTTGGTTCAAACCTCACCATTTTAAAGGTAATTTTTCTCAATAGCCTTTAAATACCTTGTATGCCATTTCCCAAATGTCATGTTTTATACCTCTAAGACTCTTTGTGTACAAAGATGAAAAATTCTAAATGCTCTTCTTCTTCTTTAGCTGTTTCACTCTGGATTGCCAATCCTTCTTTTTTCTAAACCATTATATGTATACTTTTCTTACAACTTCTGTTTATAATGTATTATAATTGGTATTATTTAACTGTTTCACTCTTGGTATTGTTTAGCTGTTTAACTCTCCAAGTGTGAGTTACTAAATGTAGAGACTAGCTTATTCACACACATACACAATTATTTGTGTGTATGTGTGTATAAGTAAATATGGAAGTGCAGCAGTAATATACAATGTATATATTAAATTAACAAATAGTGATGTGGTTCAGAGATGAAATACCTCCCAAACTGTGATCTTAAAACAAGAGCAACAATAGAAAAACAGCAAACTCTTCATTTGTATTTTGTTGGGCTAAACGTGGGAACAATAATACCATCTGTCTCCTCTTATGTTCTTTAAGAGATGTTTGAAAAGCTTGTGACACTTGAGTAAGGTCAAATAGACAAGTTTTTTTGTTAGAGTGAGTCACTATAAATGATTTCTTTGGTCTGTCAGTTGCCAGGGATAAAGCAATATAAGGTACCAACTTTTTCTCTGTTTTTCTATAAAGAACAATAAAATATAAGCTCAGAAAGAAGTCTTCAAAAATAACTTCTCTTTTTTATGTTTTATAGAGCCAGCTTATGAACTACCCCTGCTCTAAACAGGCTATCCTATCCAGCAAGATCACTCAATCCTGTGAACAGCCAATGCCATTCCAAGGAGAAGGCATATTAACTCAGAAAATGCTGACACACCTGACCTTTCATCCCTGCCACTAGTAGTTCTACAGAAGACCAGTGTGCATGCAAACAATTCACTTACAAGCAAGAATTCCTACAAGTGTAATATAGTTTTGTGTAAAGTATTAGTGATAGAATATGTATTTACAAATTCCTTGGGAGGGGTTGCAAACTGGAATGACCACAAGGTCCAGCCAGTGATGGAGTGGGAACTGTGGGCAAGAGGAGATGCCTTGTGGAGTCCAAAGTTGGCAGTGACTGTTCAGCACCAGACACATTGCCATATGGGAACTTGGGATTCAGGTGGTTGGGTCTCCTGCATTTTGAGAGAAGCTAGAAATGTCTTGGTATTTAAATGTGACAACTAACATAGGAATTTTTTTTTTTTTTTAAAAAACATGATGAAGTCAAGTGTATACAGGTTTTGTTTTAAGGGACTTAGAAATAAGCAAGAGCTTCAGAATGGTATCCTGGGTCAGCTCTTCTATTTTAATTAACTTAATATCTACTACCAAACCCATGTGAAACATTTAAAGATTAGAGAGTTGGGGTATTAACATCTCTGGTGTGCATTCAGAAGTGTATATTAGCTAGGCAGACTGATCTCAATATACATTAAGACACTATTGCTGTGGAAATTGTCTGGAAATTGAAATATTTCCAAAGTCACTTCGTGGAGCATTATTTAGGGCTAAACAGAACATGAGAATCTCAGTTTTCCTCAAAGTTCTTTGTAGAATAATCTTAGTTATATTTCCAAAATTATATTTGATACTGGTTAATAAAGGTAAATGCTGCTATCTGAACTCACTTATAAATATCTAAACTTGCATTTGGTACTAAAATGTTGACAGGCACAAGTTTCTAGTGGAAAGCACATCGGACTATGAGTTAGGAGATGTGAGTTCCAGTCCTAGTTTTGAGTGCATAGCTGTGGAATGGAGGTCAAGTCATTTGATTTCCCCAGACTTTTGTTACAACTGTAAATTAAGGTGGTTGGAAGGTAACTTCAAAGATCCCTTCTATAATTCTATTCCTTTGAAAGTATTCTAGAGTCTAAATTTGTGTTTCTTGTGACATAGAAGAATGTTTAGATTATGCACAGATGGTTCACTTAGAAGTTTATTTGGGACAAGCAGCCAGCACTTTTCTGGAAAAAATTGTCATATTTATTAATATAAAATTTAGTCTTAAAGAATATTGGGAAAAATGTATTCTCACCAAACACTTGAAATTATTTTTAGTAAAAGTAAATAGAGTTTCCAAGTCAGAAACTACCTGTTGTTAATCAGGGTGTTTAGGGCTCAAGTTCTGAATCTGCCACTCATTACTGTGTGACTTTAGAAAATCATGTAATTGGCCGGGCACAGTGGCTTATGCCTGTACCTCCAGCACTTTGGGAGGTTGAGGCAGGAGGACTGTTTGAGGCCAGGAGTTCAAGACCAACCTGAGCAACATAGTGACACCCTGTCTCTACAAGAAATTTAAAAACTAACTGGGTGTGGTGGCCCATGCCTGTAGTCCCAGCTACTTGGGAGGCTGAGACAGGAGAACTTCTTAAGCCCAGGAGGTAGGGGTTGCAGTGAGGGGTGATCACGCCACTGCATTCCAGCCTGGGCAACATTGTGAGACCATGTCTCAAAGATAAACAAAAACAAAACAAAACAAATCATGTATTGATTTCACTTTCTTATCTTAAAATGTAGGCAATAAAACCTCTCTTCCAGCTTTCCAGGTTTCCAAATGCTTTAAGGTCAGTTAAAATTTAATAGTCATAATTGGCTTTTGTGGAAAACCTCGTGACATCTGACTTTTATTGTTTACCTTTTAATGTGTTTCAGATGAAACAGGTTTCCTTATGAATATTCAAAAAGATATCCAAAGTTGGCAGTTCCAGTGATTTTAAGAGTGGATATAGTATATAAAAATGGATTGACAAAGTGCTACAAGTTAGAAAACCCTTTGGAATGCTATAGCTGTGGGGCAATTTTCTTTAAAACAAACAAACAAACAAAAGCAGAAATCCCCTTTCTCACAAATGATTATAAACATAGGCAATATTCTAGTGCTGTTAGTAGTGCCATACTTTCGTCAATGATTGTGCATGTTTTTGCTAACTGCAAACACTAGAGAAGAAATACAATTTCCATCTAAACCAAAGGCCACATCACCATACTGTAGTAACTCTCCGGGTGAGTCACTGACTTATAGATTCTGTGTTTCATGAAGCCTCTGCAATCTCTTCTTTACAGTGAATGTAAATGTTTGCTTAGCACAGTAGCAGGTAGCATGACAGCACAGTCTATTAGAGTGGAGAGGAGAATGGAAGAATGAAGGGCAAAGACATCTCTTGTCCTGAGGGGGCTCAAGCAGGTATGCCTAGCATCTTTCTTTCCCAGAAAGAAGGATAAGTGAGAGTGATTTAGTCTCCTGTAGGTAAGCACTGTCTCATGGCATCACTGTTAGGCCTCCACAAGAGTCATTATGATAATAACACCTTAGGGGAGAATGGAATATATATATATATATTTTAGACGGAGTTCTCGCTCTGTCGCCCAGGCTGGAGTGCAGTGGCGCGATCTCAGCTCTGCCTCCTGGGTTCACGCCATTCTCCTGCCTCGGGATCCCGAGTAGCTGGGACTACAGGCGCTGGCCACCACGCCCGGCTAATTTTTTTGTATTTTTAGTAGAGACAGGATTTCGCCGCGTTAGCCAGAATGGTCTCGATTTCTTGACCTCGTGATCTGCCCGCCTTGGCCTCCCAAAGTGCTGAGATTGAGAATGGACATTTAGAGTTTACAAAGAAGCTTTACAACCAGTGTCCTATTTGGTTACAACAGCCTGAGTCACTAAGGACATGCTATAGATGGTAGAATATTGAGTTTCAGGAGGTTCAAGCGACTTGCCTGATGTCACACAGGCAGTAAGGACAGGGCTAAGTGTGAAATTCAGGCCCACTGTTTGCAAAAACAATAACAATTTTCCCTATAACAGGCACCGCTTATTAGGATAAGGTGGACTAGGTCTGATTAATTAAGCTGATAACCAGTGCTCTTGCTAAAGAGCTAAGCCTACAAAGTCATTGGTACCTTCCCACTGGAATCTTATATTCATGGTTCAAGAACTCTTTAAATTTGTCTTTCTCAGAATCCATTTGATTCACTTCAATGTATATTCATAGAGCATTTTACTAAGTTCACAGTTGGTATATGCTTTTATTAAATCGTGACTTCTTAATATGTATCTATATTTCTATACCTACATCTATATCTCTATATCTGTGCCATTTATGTAAAAAGCCCATTTTATTGAAATAACCAATACATACACATGCACACTGACCAATCAAACTTACCTTGATAAAATAGCTCCAAGTTTCTCTTTCTGGCTTGATAAATAATTTGCCTTGTGTTTGTAAAGTATTTCATTTAAGGTCACAGATGAGTTTATAACACAGAAAATTGAATGCCAATCTTTTTCTCCACAAAATACATGGCAGTTTCCCTTTTAGCCAAACTTGACTTCCAATATTTGCAAACTCAGTAACTAAATAAAGCCTTGGGTTTAGGAAAACAGTTACGTTATGCTATAAGAGAATATATTTTTGCAATCTTACCTTAAGATAAATTATTGCAATGGTAGTTTAACACTGATTATCTCTATTTTTCAGAAGGAGATTTTGCGAAGAGTGGTATGTAAAAAGCAATTATCATGTAAAATAATCATTACGATTTACATGAGAAGTTAGGAGATAGTAACTTCCATGACAGGGGTGCCTGTAAGATAGTGTTCACATTTGTGCTTGATGGTTTTAGTTCATTCCTGATGCTGAGAGTTGCTAAGAGTTTACATCCAAACTTAAAAATATCAGAGGCCAAGGAAAAAAGTCAGCTGAGAATTAACCTAGCTCTCTCTTGTAAGATAGATACCAACCTAACTTTGAGTGCTTTCACACTACTTTCCATGCCAGTTCCTCTGACACCAGACAATGCCCAGAGGTCAGAGTGCAAAGCAGGCTCTGACTGCCCTCCTGCAATCCCACAGGGACTTCTCCCTCACACCTGAACATTTAGTTTGGGGCTTTGCCTATGATTTTGAGTCAAGACTGACAGAGATCTAATCCAGGGTTCCTTTTCCAGTTTCAAGTCAGATCCATAGTGCAAATTTTGCATTTTCATCACCAAGAAGAGAGCTAAATAGATATATTAGTTATTTGCCTGTGGGAACATACACCTTTCCTTGTGGGCAGGGAGCCTGGGAAATCCCCTCGTATTTCAAAAATTCAATTGTCAAAAAACAAAAGCCAATTTTGAGTAATCTTTGAGATTTTACTATAATTCTGTGTCAAAGCAGAGTGTTAAGGAAAAGTTTAGTTTATTATATCAGCCTAAGATATTGAACTTAAATTAAACATCCAGAATAATGGATCCTGAAAAGTTATTCTTATTTTAGAGAGTTTTTGGTATATAACTGTTTTTTTAAAGAAATGTTGTATTCAGTTACTAATGCCCAGTATAAAGATTAATTCCATGGTTCTCAAACTTTAGGGTGCATCAAAATTTCCTGGAAAACTTATTAAAACGCACAGACTCCCCCCTCCCCAAGTTTCGGATTCAGTAAGTCTGAGATGAGGCCTGAGAATCTGCACCTCTAACAAATTACCAGTGATGCCGATACTGCTGGTTCAGGGTTCACACTTTGAGAACCAGTTGATTAGGTTGACTCTTTTGTTGATTGTTATAGAAACTAAACTCTTCCCCCAACTCCATTTCTATTATAAATGTAGTAATGGATTCTAATACTTTGTTGTCCTCAACATATAGTTGTGTAGAGTCTTTCTTATTAAAATCTCTCTCCATATTTTCTGACTTCCACCACTACTCTCTTAGTTTAGACCATCATCATCTTTCACCTGAAGGGTGGAAACAGCTTTTGAACTGCTTCTTCCCTCACTTTGCTTCTTGCCCATCTCCAGTCCATTAATTATAAAGAAATCGTAGCTATTTTAAAGACAATGTAAATTTGATTTTGTAGCTAGGCTTTCTTTCATCTCCTTGACCCCTTCTCTCTTTTCAAACCATCTCCACTCAAGAAAATAAAACGACATTCAATGACTTTCTAAAGACGCCCCTCTCACCCCCACCCCACTTCACCTGGCTCATTCAGAGTTATTGTCAGATCTTAGCTTAGATATCATTTCCTTTGGGCAACCTGCTTGACCTCCATGGGATGGGATTAGATGCCGTTCTTTGTGCACTGTTGGGGAAATGTAAGTAAACAAAAGCTTCTCCCATCTCAGAAAACCTCCCACAAAGGTAGTAGAGAAATAAACTAGTTTTTTAGAAAACTGAATAAGCATTAAACCAGAATGTGATGTGCATCATAGGCCATCCACTAAGAGATTCCAAAGACAAAAGGAAATCTTATCCTGTTATGCAGCCAAATAGACATAACCTATTACACACATGTTTTTAATATAAACAATAACTCATCAAGTGAGAGAAATCAACAGTACCATTTGTCACACATAATTAATCTTAACTTTATTCAGTGATTAGGGTGACTAACTGTGTTAGCTAAGTGGCTTTATTGGGGAGTGTCGGCGGAAACTAACCCCAAACAAAAACCAAACAAAAACGTCTTATATTTTTATGGGAGAAGGTAGTTTTGCAACTTGAAGCAAACCTTCCTACAGAAACCTGAAGATAGGGGTGCTATTTTTCTTGTTTGTATTTCAAAAAGATGGCTCTCAGGTCCTTGAGAAAGACATTTCTGGCGCATAAAGCCGACAAAAGTTATATCTGGTTTTC